CCCCCCCGTGGCCACTCTATTTCTTGTGTTAGCTTAAATTCCTGCTTAAGAATATTTAAATTAGAAAAGGCACTAAGCAGCCACAGTATTTCTTTCCCATTTTCAGGTTTCTAGATAATCGACTGTTTGCAACTTGTTCTGATGACACTACAATAGCACTTTGGGATTTGAGAAAGCTGAACACAAAAGTGTGTACTTTACATGGCCACACCAGCTGGGTTAAAAACATTGAGTACGATACCAATACAAGGTTACTAGTAACATCAGGATTTGATGGAAATGTGATTATATGGGACACGAACAGGTATGTGGCTGTGTTCATGCTGTTACGTTTCTGTTCATGTTCTTCATGTTCTGTTCATGTTGTTACATATCTACAAGGATAGGGGTCTTCTGTACAAGACAGAAAACCTGCTTCCTTGAATGGTGCTATACCACATTCTTAAATACCATGATTAGTTTATAGCACTTATCCAGAATTTGCATCTCCTTTATATGGTAATAGTACAGTAGCTGAAAAGAGAGCTTTTCTTGCTGACATGCCAAAAAGTAGTTCTTCCTTTTTGAAAAAGTTCTGTCTTCATTGTTGTGGTAGAATGAAAATGTGATTTCTGCCATTTCATTAAAATCTTGTAAGTAGGATAAAGACAGTAGTCAGAAAAGTTTTAGGATGAACAAAGATGCTTAGTTATTTTTAACTCTTATGGACATTAGGGACTTCAGGCAAAGCTAATTCCAGCCATTTCTTGTGCTTGTTTTTTGCTGTCCAGGTGCACAGAAGATGGATGTCCCCACAAGAAGTTTTTTCACACCCGTTTTCTTATGCGAATGAGGCTGACGCCAGACTGTTCCAAAATGTTGATCTCTACCTCCTCTGGGTATCTTCTGATTTTGCATGACCTTGACCTAAACAAATCTTTAGAGGTTGGCAGCTACCCAATTTTAAGAGCGAGGAGGACTACTACATCAAGTTCAGGTAAATGCTTGTGGAAAAATCTGTGGCAGCTTCTGTGTTAGAGGTGTTTTATGGGATATTCTTAGCTATCAAAAGAAGGCAGAGCTGGAGTTGGCAGAATTCTGCCAAGGAACTCTTTGGTATGTTAGCTGCTGTGTTCAGGGGTCATGCATCTGTACTGTTGACAGCAGATCTAGAAGAATTGCATGTTCTGAAGTTTCACTGCTTGCTTCCTCCTGCTTTGTGACAGTAACAGAGTAAAATAGTGACAAACTCTGCCATTTGGGGTGTCTGGATATGAAAGGAGTGGCTGGGGAAAAATTCGTACCCCAGCTTCTAGCAGAGACGGTGCATAAGAAGGAAGGGATGCAGCTTGCCTCTTATTCCCAGTAGAGTCCTGTGCTCACAGTTTATTTGTATGAGGCACAAATAGAACGGTACTTTTAGAGTATAAACTGAGCTTTGGAAAGTATTTTCTTAACAAGATGCCTTACCATTTACTTAATACTTCTAAGGAGGGTTAAGTGGGGAACATGCATAGTATGTGGGCTGTGCTAAGCTCTTGGTTCACATGACTGATGCTGTTTGCAGACATAACTTCATCAGGTTCCTCTGGTCCTCGAGCTGTTGGTTCACCATGTCACCAGAATGATTCAGGTCTGCTGTCTGAGAAACACATGTCACGGTCCTCCCAGCGAGAAGGTAGGAAAAGCCTTTTAAAAAGTAAAAAATCATGGACTTGGACTCATTGTATCCAGAAGAGGCCAGAGTGTCATAGTGAAATAATTTGGGTTTGGCTCTGAGACTTTTAAAAGAGTAATGTTGCTCTGACTTCTATTAAACCACTAAAATACCATTGCACACCAAATCTGGGCATCTAATTTCCACACCCACACCCCCCCCCCCAAGAAATCTGATAACAGTAACAAGATCTTTATTTTATCTAATTACATGATTGTTATGTAGAAAAACCAAAAAAAACCACCAAACCCCAACTCAAAACCAGCAGTAGACTGATGAGGAAGGTGAAGGTCAATGTATAGACTTCATTGATACTTACGGTTGGCTTTTCTTTCTAGGTGGATCACCTAGAAATAGTTTGGAGGTCTTAACACCAGAGGTTCCTGGAGAAAGAGATCGAGGCAACTGCATTACATCACTACAGCTACATCCAAAAGGTTGGGCTACGCTTCTTCGATGCTCAAGTAATACAGATGACCAGGAGGTAAAACAAATATGTTTTGGGTTTTTTTTTCTTTTGCTGTTTTTTTTTTTTTTAAATACATTGAGATGTATTGATCACACAACTATGTTGATATTTCCTTGTTTTGTGGGTAAATTTAATTAATCCCAAGCACAAACACAGGCTGGGCAGAGACTGCTTTGAGAGCAGACCTGAGGAGAAGGTCTTGGGGGTGTTGGTTGACAAGAAGCTCCTTATGACCCAGCTTCAGTGTGCCCTTGAGCCCAGAAACCCCCTGTGTGCTGGGCTGCATCCCCAGAGTGTGAGCAGCAGGTCGAGGGGATTTTGCCCCTCTACTGAGGCTCTGAGGAGACCCACCTCTACAGTCCTGCGTCTAGCTCTAAGCCCCCCAACATAAGAGGGACATGGAGCTGTTGGAGGGAGTCCAGAGAAGGCACATCTCTTACGAAGACAGGCTCTGAGGCTTGGGTTTGTTCAGCCTGCAGAAGACTCTGGCCAGACCTTGTTACAGCCTTCCAGCAACTGAAGGGGACAACAAGAAAGCCAGAGAGTGATTTTTTTATAAGAGCAAGTAGTGACAGGACGAGGGGGAATGGTTTTAAACAGACTAAAGGGAGATTTAGATCAGATCTTAAGAAGCTGTTCTTCCTTGTGAGGGTAGTGAGGCCCTGACACAGGTTGCCCAGGGAAGCTGTGGCTGTCCTGTCCCCCTGGCAGGGTTCAAGGGTTGTGAATGCCCCATCCCAGTGTTCAAGGCCAGGCTGGATGGGGCTTGGAGCAACGTGGTCTAGTGGAAGGTGTCCCTGCCTGTGGCAGGGGGTTGGAACTGGATGAACTTTAAGATCCCTTCCAACCCAAACCATTCTATGACTCTATGATAAATTTGCATTTGAATAAATTAAAGTTATTTCTGTTTACAAATGTATTTAATTTTACACCAAAACAAAAATTATTTTTTTTTTTTTTTTAAATTAATGACATCATATGACTTTGTATCCTGCATTCAGTACTTCTGTTGCCCAGTTTTTCCACAGAATATAGTTTATGGCTCTGTGAAAAGTTTTCAAATAGTAGTTTTGCTGCGAAATACATGACTTAAAAATATGCACCTGCCAAAATATAGGAGGCGTCAGCTTGGAAAAGACAGAGGATTGGACAGTTGTGTACTGGTGAACATGATTTAAGTTGAGCAGAGAAGCTCCTCTGAATTCAAGTGCCTTTGCAATTTTTTCTACCTCCCAGGATGAAGTGCTCCTGCTGTGCTGATGAATGCTTTCCAAAGGCTGCTCCTGCACTGCTGTGAAAAAAATCTCATGGCATATTTCTGCATCTACTTAAAACTGCCACAGTGTAGGACTGAATATGGTGAACTCCAGTGATGTTTATGTAATGTCAAAGTGTCTTGGTCTCAACTCTCACCCTAAAACTCTGCAACTTAAATATAAATTGGATATCGCTCATCCTCCTGGCAGAATCCATTTCAAGCCATTACTTGAAGTACTAAGTCATAAGACCAGCTACAGCTCATCTGCATCTTGCAGATTTCACTCCCTAAAACACTGCTTTAAAGAAGTAACAGCAGACTTTAAGGCCAATGTTTGATTATGTTTCTGAAATTGTTTGTGAAGTGTTACATCATAGCTGCTATATTGCACTGGGACCCTGTTGTAAGACAAAAAAGCAGTGTCTAATGCACTCAGAAATAGTGAAAAACCCAGCTTCTCATGGACTGTATACAAAAAGTAAGAATCTGCAGCTTGAGTTCGGGAGCACCTGCTCTTGAAGTTATCAAGGTTAACTTAAGTTCATTTGTAATATAAAGCCCAGCCAGAGCCTTCAGAACACTTGGATTCTTCCACATGGTCTTAGGGTTACTTCAAAAGTAGTGCTGTGACAGTTGTGCAGACCACTCTGTTTTCAAGACACAGAGGTTTTACATTTGTTTGCCAAAATCACAATTATTTGAATAGTTGTCTTTAGTTAACAGCTGATGTAAATTTGGGTTGGTTTGGGTTTGTTTGGCGGGGGGATGTTTTGTGGGGGTTTTGTTTTGTTGGTTTTGTTTTCTGGTTTTTGGGGCTGTTTCTGAAGAAAACCACTGTTTGTAATGGTAACCTGATACAGATGTGTAGAGGACTGGAAGGAAACTCAGCAGATCAAACCTCTATACAACACACAATTTTGAGAATGCAAATATTACATTGTATTGTTTGATACCGACGATTGACCTAGTTACAGTTTCCTGTGGTCCTAGTGTCTGCCTTATTCTCTTCTATTAATTAGTATTGTTTCCTTTGTGTTTATTACAGTAGAATACATGGTAAAGAACTAAGAACACTTGTATGGTGGTTGAAGTTGAATCTCTGAACACGATATAAACTTCGTCATAGAGCTGGTTGTGCATTTTGTTTGAGATTAGTTGATTAGGTTGTACATTAAAATCACAGACTGTCTCTAAAGTAACAAGATGGCTGTAGAGCTGTTCATAACACTCCTTCAAAATCTGTTTCCCTCACGTTTAAAGTTTTCTTTCTTTTTGAAGTTAAGGGCACAAAATGCCTATGGTCAGTTATAAGTTACAGTAGGCAGAGTTCTAATTTATTGTAGAATTCATTTAAATGTTTACTAAATTAAAGCAGATGCCTGGCCAAAGGATTAGGCTTTGCTCATTCCAGATAAAAACTAGATTTTAAAGGATTATATCTAGCATCCATTTAATTTTAAAAGCAGCTTTGATGCTAGACAACTGTTTTGCTTTGGCAGTTCAAAGCGGTAGAGATGTCCAGGAACTGGCCTGTTTTCAGTGTTTCATAGTAGATGCTTACTGAAGAGTAGACAAGCAATAGCATTGACCATTCCTGTTACTCAACATGCAATGGGAAGGAATGAGCATTTGCAGTGGTTTACTTTTCTTTCAATGTTCCTTTCTTTGCCTCTCCCTTTAGTGGACTTGTGTCTATGAATTCCAGGAAGGAGCTCCTGTGCGCCCTGTCTCGCCTCGTTGTTCCCTGCGATTGACTCATTGCATTGAAGAAGCCAATGTGGGCCGAGGTTACATCAAAGAACTTTGTTTCAGTCCTGATGGCCGGATGATTTCGTCCCCGCATGGCTTTGGGATCCGTTTGTTGGGGTTTGATGCACACTGCAGTGAACTTGTTGACTGTTTGCCCAAAGAAGCCAGTCCCCTGAAAGAAATTCGTTCACTCTACTCTCACAATGATGTGGTACTAACAACCAAGTTTTCTCCAACACACTGTCAGATTGCCTCGGGGTGCCTTAGTGGACGTGTTTCTCTGTATCAGCCAAAGTTCTAGGCACATCTTGCATCAACAAGACCTTCAGATGTTTGTGGGTTTTACTTCAGTTTAGTTGAAGTGTGTTCTTTCTGAAATCTCCAAATCCCAATAAGATCATGGTTACTATGATCTCCGAACACAATAGTAGAATGAGTTTTCAGCCCAGCATGGTATGCGTTCTCATAGTGCATCCACAAATCTGCTTCCATGCACTGTATTTTCAGCCTTCCAAGCAGACCTCTGATCCTGTGCCATCAAGACATGTTCTGGTTTGTACAATAATACTTGTTGATAATTTCCTTCAATGCAACTTCAAGTGGGCTATTTGAAACTAATGTGGAAGGGGCAAGGGTAGCAGTTCAGCCAAAACTCACCCAGGCTCCTCAGGTATAACACCTCCTTGTTCCAAAGGAGCTGGACTTCCTCACGTACACATCCTTGTACATGTTGCTGAAACTACTGTATGGTGATTATTAGATAATGAGCTGCTTTTCTGTGTAATAACACAGTTACTGTCACAAAAAGAAAAGGTTTTTCTCATTTATGTATTAATTCGATTGTTTGTGATTGGCTAGAATCGAATCAACTTTCTGTAACATTTTGCTATACTTAAAGCATATGGTTTCCTGTGTTTGCATATACTGTGTTTATTGCCAGAAGGAAGAGGTTCTGGATAGAGATGTAGCTCCATTTGTTTTCCCCAGGGAATTCAGTAGGAAAAGACTGTGGCAGGGTAGCAGGAGTTGAATGGGTGAAGACCCTGCCCTGTATCCACTGCAGACAAACTGGATGTTTTGTACAATCAGGGTGTCCTTGGTTGGCCTCTTACGCATCTGTGACTCCTCAGCCACTAGGGTTTCTGTTGTAAGGAGCCTTGTGCATCAGTAACATAAACCTCTATCCTGTGGTTAAAACTTAACACTGCAGACAGAATATTCTGCTGATGTTAGGGCTGTTTCCCACCTGAGTGTTCTTCCACATCTTGCCAGCACCATTGCTGTGAGAGGAATTAATCTAGGATATGTCCATAGTATCACCAGGTAGACTTTTTTCACATGTACTGTTTGGGAATGGATTAAAAGCATGCCTGTCTATAGTAAGATCTATTTGGATTTATGGGGCTTTTCATACTGTGTGAAAAACATTAATGTTTACCATTAAATCACATACTAAGTATGAATGCCAAGTTTTAGCCCTCGAGTTAATATAGCTAACCTTGTAAATTGTTACTTCAGTCTCGCACATCCGAATCAGTTTATAATATTCTCATTGCTTATATGTTCCAAAATGTGGTGGGTGTTTTGTGTTGGTTTGGGTTTTTGTTTGGTGGGGGTTTTTTTTAATGTTTTTCACTAAGGTTTTGCTGACCAGTCACACACTCAATTTAAACCTTACCTAAAAAGGACTGTCATGTTTTGGTGTTCAGATTTCACTCTCTCTGGCTCAACAGAGCATGTTTTTTTTACATAGCCTTTTACGAAACACATGTCTAGGAAAAAAGAAGACATTGGTGAGGTGAGATAGCTGGAAGTACAAAGCCTGCTCTTTTTGTAGTTTTGCATTTGTGTAGGTAGCAAACACTACTGCAGTATATGGTGGGTGTTGGTAGAGAAGTCATTGAAACTTAAGGTTCTTCTGCATTATGAGAAAAAGAATTTAAATTTCATCTTTTGGAGAAATGGTTTAGTATTAAAAAGCCTTCAATATTGGGTATTTGGTAATTTGAGGACTGAGGACTTAATTACTCCTGCATTGGGTTTTCATCATGTTTATCATGTCTAGTAGTCCTTCTGCATCTGACTGACGCACTGTCAGCACAGCTGACAGATTTCTGGTTTGTTGTTTGGTAAAAGTCTTAACTTTTCTGTTCTCATGGGTTTTAACAATGATTTGGTGACAGCATCTCAGTAGAATATCATCCCAGTTGGAGGAGGAAAAATAGTTTTTAAAGTAAACATACTCAGTTAACTTAAAATGCAAATGAATGCCCATAGTCTTCTTAGCAACTCGTAAGTTGAAATGTTACAGAGCATATCTTCTGAGCAGTTTTGTTGCTGAAACTGTTGTCTTGAACTCAAAAGTAGACAAAGGAAATGATAAATAAGGTGAGATGTCCTATCTTCTGTAACAGTGACTCTGAAGTTCAAACACTTGTACCTTTTGAATACTTTTGGTACTCTGTGCAAGGAATACAATTCACTTTAAGTTAATTGCCCAAGCCATGAAATAACTAAATAAAATATGCAAGTGTATCTGAGACCAGTTAGAAACACATCACTTTGACTGGCACCCAGCTCCTCTTGCATATGTGTAACAGCCTGTGAACCGAAACTAAGTATGTGGCAACTTGCATCTGTTGGTTTGTTAGAGTTCAGGGGGACTTCTCTCGTCTGTGGCTTAAAGCAGTGGACGTGAAGTGTGCACAAAACTTTAGACAGTTTGCGGAACACAAGTTTGTTATGCAAAGGAGGAGCTAAGTTGTTTGTGGGGGAACCCACACAGAACAACACAAAACCCCACAAAACTATTAACTGTGTGGGAAAACTTCTGCATACTGTGTTCTTGGTATTAGACCAGCAGAAGTGCTAAGTCTCATGTTCCTAAAGTATTTTGAAACAGAATGCATTGTGACTGAATGAACACTTGCATTTGTCTGCACTCTCCTCCATTAAAAGTTGTTGCCTGTTAGTAATAAACAGGTTCTACCCCTGTCCCTGCACTGGACTGTTATGACTTTTTCCCTAAGCATGCGCTTCTAGGTTGCTGTTTTCTCACCTTACTCTTCTACTGAACATCATCGAAGGGACTACAGGTAACTGAAGAAATCTTACTGTTCTTATAGGCTTGAACTATGTTCATTTTGGAGGTATAGCAGCACACAGTTCTTGGGTCTGTTTGTTCTCATGGCTGGTTTTGGTCTTTCAGAAATTCCTTGAACTGGTATACTGCTTATGACTAATTTTATGCCTGTTAATATGCACTGAGTGTTACTTTTTTAATTCTACCTCATGATCCACTGTTACAAGAGTATTGTGCTGAAACCCTGGACGCTAACTTTTCTGTATAAAGAAATTTTAGTTCCAAGTGACACATGTCATCATAGCATTGTGTGTGGATTGACCTGCCCTGCCCAGCTCTGGAAACCAGGGCTGCTGAGCAAGAGTGTAGGACTGATGCTAAAAGTTGACATTGACCTGATTAAGGGGTTTGATGTTTGTAATGTGTCCAGCAGATGCATATTAATTCTGTCCATGTACGCTGTAGAAATGTTACTTAGTTCTTCTGATTACATTGGTAGTAAGTTGAACTAGAATAAGTAGGTAATCTTAGGTTTTGATGATTTGATTATTCCCTTTCAACACAACTTGAAAATTTTCAATGAAGGTTAATCTATTTTACCTGTAAAGTTCTAGCAACATTTATGGAAACATTGTTCAATAGTTCACAGTGATTTTCTGCATAATATTACTTTGCCTTATTGAATTAATGAAGTTGGTGAGCTTTGGATTATGTCTAGATAGTTAAAAAAAAGTTTATCTTGCTGTTATTTCAAAAGATGAATTCTTAACCTTCCATAACTGGTATAAACCTGGAACAAATACAAAAAAATGTTTCAAATGGTAGGTGAAAGACTGCACTAACAGCTACATAAGCTACTGACTTATACAAGAGGTTTCTTTAAAATATTTACTTTTGACCATTCAAGTGTTTATCACTTGATAAATTTTACAGTATTTATACTGAATAAGAGCTCTCAATTTGATTGTAAAGCATGCAGTATGTTTTTTAAATGCATGGTTTCATATTTATTAACTTCTGTAGTAAAAGAATACCTCCATTCACAGCATGGCTGATCCGCAAAAGCAGATAAACTGCGTAATTAAGATCTCTACAGGAATGTCAACGTATAGGAGCAACGACAGGAACCAGTGTTTGAAGCTAGTAATCCTTTTGTAGTAGTCCAGTGACTGTATGTTGTGGGATTAATGCATTTTCTGAGTATTCCATTACAGCAGCACTGTTGGACATTTGTGGGTAGGGTGAGAAACTATTAATGGGACTGTACAGTGACATTCGTGACATTTCTTTGTGTGAGGTAATTTCATTTCAGTATGTATGCAGCGATGGGGCATGGGCCTACCTGTCAAACATGGGTAGTTCAGGGAAAAATGTAACCTCCAAACAGAACTATTGGGGATAGAAAGAAAAGCACAGTGATATGGACAGACACACGCACATGTTTGTTTGCATTCTTGGAAGTCTTGGTAAGGACAGTTTGATTGCCTACTACCAGAATTAGAATGTAAGCATCAACTTGTTCTGGGGTTTTGGGAGATGGGGTGGTTGATTTTGGTGGTTTTTTTTTTTTTTTTCTTTGTGTGGTGGTGGTGTTTTGTTGGTTTTTTTTAATTTGGGTAACTGACATGGAAAAGGTCTTGATTGTATAAAACATGGGTTTGTTGCTTTATGAAATATGAACTCTTAGGAAAAAAAAATAAATTTATTGCCAAATGAAAGCTTTTTAAAAAATCTAGTTTACAAGATTCTAAAAAGTTGAAGTAAAAGGAAGAAGTCAACAGCCTGCAGGAAAAAGAAACTTCTCATTTCCTGATCTTAGTCAAAGGTGCATTTTTCTAAAGCACTGAGTAACTTCAGTTAAGGTTTTTATTACAATAATAAGTTATGCATGTAGAGTATTTTGAAATACCTGAGATTTCATAGTAAAAATTGTAGCCTTTTAATATAGTATAGGAAGTACCAGAACTGCTCTTAAAATATTGTACTTATAGCCGTACAGTAACTGTGGACAGTTTCTCTTGCTTGCATAATAAATTAAACATTTAATAATTCACTGAATTAAAATCTATTTTAATGCATTTATCTTACACTGAGCTGTGTTCTGTAATGCTCACTGGTTCTTGCCTACTCCCTACAACTAAGATTTAAAAAACAATGCTTAGAGCAAAACAACCTCTGTATGCAGGTTTCTTCCCCTCCACTGGTTTCTTTGCTACTGT